AAGAAGGAGCTAGCATTCTATTTTTTTAAAAAGAAGATGCGCGATTGCCGGCGGCACGCAGGCTTTGGAAAGGAGCAGAAAGGACGAAAGCGCGAGGGGTGATTCTAGCGGGGGTGTATGCGGGTGGGGAAGGCAGCTACACGACCGGGAGGCGAAGTGTCGTCGTCCGAATAACGGCCAAGCGGCATCGACCGATCTTTCTGCTGCCCTCGGCTCGTACACGAAGCGTCAACTTGTTTCCCTTCTATTCCACGAATATTGAGTTCAATTTGCCTGCTACCCTTCTCTCAAGTTCTCTTCTCTCTCTCTCTCTCTCTCTCTCTCTCTCTTTCTCTTCTCCCCCCCCCCTCTATCTGCGTCTGCGACGCTCTAATGCGATTGTCTTTACCTTTTGTCCTCGTGATCCCAAGTGAATCGTCCTTTTCCTCGCATCTTATTTTCTTCTTTCATATACACGTCCAAATATTCCAACAGAGTTTTTTTTTGCAACCATTGATGTTTATTAAAATTAATGAGAGGCGAAAAAGAGTCTCTTAGATCTTGTTTTCGAGCCTCGCCGATTGAGCATTTGTAAAGATCCAATCGGTGATGCATCTCGAGTCTTGTTCGTGCAGACGCCGCTTTTTATCGAGATTTATGAACATACTCGTGTTATAAATGTGATGCTCAGATGCTCGTGAAAACGTGGTTATGAAGAGATAGGCTGGCATAACTAAGCATGGTTGTTATCGCTTATACAGGGTGTCTCATAATCTTCCAACAGATTGCATGTTACCAAATAATCTTTCGGCTATTCCACACAAACATGGGAGTAATCGTTAACAGTCTATTTTCTCTTTTATTACAGTATCACATTAAACGATTCCGAGATACTACGAGAATATATATATATCTAGGTCATTTTATATTTATCTCAAATTTATAACAACTACATGGAGAAAAATTATTTAGCTGTAGCAGCAAATATGCATTAGCTGAAATCAATTAGCTGATTGTGCTAACGATTTAGCTGATAAAGCAAGTTATTTGCTATTGTAGCTATAATAGATATTTGCTACTTTTGATGAAAAGTATATTAGTTTTAATCCTTAGCTTCCACAGCTAAGAATTAGCAAGTCCGGGATATATTAGTAAGTAAAAACCGCTGTCAAGTTGAAGTATGAACTTTTTGTATTTATTTCATGAACACTTTGCTCTTCCTCATGGAAATTTTTTTGTGATCAATTTATGGTAACTTATTTAGTATCATAATAATTTTAAAAAAGTGTTAAGTTGTATTTTTTGGGCTTTTGCAGAGATAAATTTTTAACATTAATAATTTCGTAATATTTTATAATAAAAGGTTCAATATTAGGTCAATTAATTCGTTTTTAAATATTCTCTAAGTTGTTCATAATAATTTTAAACTTACATAAAGATTTTTTAATAAATAATGCCAGGGGTGCGTTCACGTAACTCTCACCCTCACTCTCACTTAAAATTGATCACTCTCACCCTCACTTAAAAATTTTTCACTTTCACTTTCACTCAAAAATTTTTCACTCTCACTATCACCTACACTCAAATTTTTTTAATCTCACCCTAACTATCACTTAAAAATTTTTCAATCTCACCCTCACATTCACTCAAAAACTTTTCACTCTCAATATCACTCTTACTCCAAAAATATGATAAATTGAAATATATTTAGATATGACAATTATAAAGAATAACAAGAATTTAATGACTAATTGGTATCAAAAAGTATTTCCTCAAATAGACTAATAAATTATTTTTCGAATCATCCAATCCAACAAAAAAAGAACATTGTTTATAATTTATATGATAGGGCTATTTTGTTATCACATGAGTCCTTTCATAAAGATAATATCAAAAAAATTAAAAAGATTTTACTTAATAACGATTATCCATTGGAATTTATTCAAAAAATGATAAAAACCCGTTCTTACAAAATAAATCAAAAAATAGTTAATGACAAACAATCTAATAATTTGGTTTCTATTTATCATCAACTTCCTAAAGTTTCTATTCCCTTTAATAATATTTACTTCAAATTATCCAATATTCTCAAAAAATACAATGTTTTAACTATTCCAATGGTTTAAAAAAGTTTAGTTTCTGTCATAAAATTGGGTAAAGACTTGACAAAAAAATGAGATAGAACGAGTATTGTGTATAAGTTCAATTGTAATAATTGCCCTGCTACTTATATAGGTGAGTCTAAACGGACTTTAAAAAAAAAATTAATGAACATAAAAATAATAAAAATTCCGATTCTGTTGTAAACAAACATCAAGCTGATTATAATCATTCTTTCAATTTCGAGGATGCAAAAATTATAGATTACGAATTTTCTTATAGAAAAAGATTGATTTCAGAAATGATCCATATTCAAAGCAACGAATTTACTATTAATAAGAAAGAAGATGTACAATTCCTTAGCAATACTTATTTTCCTTTACTTAGCAAATTGAAACAATGATTATATTCAGAATATTTGTATGAAGGTTCATTGACCCATTATTCTGTATATAATGTGAAAATTGTCACCGTTAGACTCTGTTTGACTAATCACTTACAATAATCATGTTTCTGATTTATAATTTAAACTTTTACAATTTTTTATTTAATTTTTTACTCCTTTGATGAAATGTTGGTGCAATTTCTTTTAATTAGGTAGATATTATTTTTTAAAAAGAAAAATGAATTTTTTGGTTTATTCCGTATGTATTGAATTTGTTTAGATTGTAATAAAGTGACCTGAGGGTGGTGGCGAACTGTGCCTCCGAAACGTTGTCATTACATATGTGAATGTGTTTTATTCACCTGTCTTCCAAAAATCGATTTTTAAAAATTTGTCAATTTCAAAATGTTAATAACTCTGGATAAAATAACAGTAGAATATTCGCTAATAGGTCAAAAGATGCGTCTTGAAAAACTCTACAAAACTATATAGAGATAAATATCTATTGGTGTCAATACATTTTTTTAAGTTATGGGCAAAAAACTTTTTATTCTAATTTTTAAATATGGCTCAAGTACTCAAAGTATTTGTCAAAGAAATGACCTTGTGCACAAGGACAGCTAGATTAATGAATATTAACCTATGTCACCGAGGGTTTAAAGTTTAAATGGGGTTTAACACAGGTTTAGTGCACTTTTTCACTTGTATGCCAACATTTTATTTATTAATTTTTTTCTTTTACGATATGTATACTTGTGGTTTATGATGTGATGAACACGAATCTGATGTGAAAAATAAGTTTTGACAGCATCCAGCTGTCTTAACAGATGTCAAACTGTTGACAACGAGAGTTTATAAGTTATAAGGGTTTTTACACTTATTTACTCAAAAATAATTGGTTTTTGAAACATTGAGTCCAAATGAAATATAAATTTGTAATCCTGATAGTTGACAGCTGTCAAAATTTAAAAACTTTTTAAAAATGCTCGATTTGAAAAATTTAACAACTGTCAATTTCCAAAATTTTATAATACTGCTATTTCATTTGGTCTCAATGTTTTAAAAATTAATTATTTTTGAGTAAATTAATGTAAAAGCTATCAAATTTCTTGTTTTCAACTCAATATTTCAAAAAACAATCATTTTACAAAGGATTTTGATTTATTTGAAAATAAGTGTAAATAAATTTTTCGGTGTTGGTGTCGCTATTGAAAATTTATTAACTTAATATTTATAACAATTCGAATTCTTCTTGTAATTCTCTAATTTTTGTATTTCCTTAAATCCTACATTTCAGAGTATCTGCAAAATTTCATTTTTTAAATTCCCTAATATTTTTCTAACTAACAAATTGTTGAATTATTGAAAATCATCTTTTATAGGAAAAAGTGGAGCAAAACGGCTATAGTAGAAATTTGTCGTGGCACCATTAGATTTACTCAAGTTACTAGACAGTTTTTGTCGACGACGCTGATTCTAGCTCAACTAAAAAATTACTGTAAATTTACTAACCAAAGCTCTTGGAAAAAGATTCCAATTGAACACTATTTTCAAGTGTTTTATAATAATTATTTAACAATATAACATTTTCGAACTTGACAACCATTCCTTATCATATTTAGAACTCCTGCATAAAATTTCAACTCAATTCATCATTCAATATTTTAAGTGAAAAGTTACGAACAAATTAACATTACAGACCTAACAGTCACATAACCTTAATAACGTTCTGAACATAATTAGTTACTTTCGTTCTTTTCTGAAAATAATATTACTTATCTTAATAATTTTTTTTTCTGAAAGTGTAAATCTTCTTGATTTGAGACAGTATAGAAACAATTTTTAATATCAAACACAGATTCACATATGAACAGGCAATAAACTGTATAGGTTTTTTAAATCGTAATATTAATTCAAATAATAACTTAACAATTCAATTAATATCAATATTATCAACAATAGAACAAATAATATATCAAATATTTTTCAAATAACAAATTTGACACAAGGACGCCGAAGGCACGCTACAAAGCAAAAGCAGTGAAAATTGTGGTTGTGTCTCTTCTTCGAATTCGATATATCGATATATTGTAAACGACCGATTACTTGGTTTACTTTGAGAGGGAAAATTCAAAATTACTTTTTATAGAATTCTTTTTTGAGTATTTCCGGCTTTTAAAAATAGAAAAAGATAATGTTTTTAGTATTGTAAAAGTCATTTTTATTTATTTTTATTTCCCTATTTTCTAAAATAATATATTTATACTGGTCAACTAAAATATTCATAAAAAAACTAATTAAATAAAAAATCAATATTTCAATGTACAACAATAAATTAATTAGTTAAAATTTTTCCAGTAAAACTATCGTAAACATAACCTATAATTCATTTACTTCTAAGGTCCCTTATTCAGATCGCGTTAAAAGTATTTAATATTCTTTAAACATAATTTTTTAACTTTAAATTTAAAATAAAAAAAATCGATTTCTTTATCATTTTCGTAATTATACCTATATAAAAATGTATTTTTTTCAGAAAAAAAATAAAAAATTAAATGATGGAGGCCTATGACGACGACGATGACGACACTCACTTTTGTATAAAATGCAATTCAACAATTCACGGTTTGGAGAATTATGTTCGTCATCGACAATCTGGATGTCGTGTTAAAACAGAAGCTCATGATGCACCATCAACTCCAACGACAGTGTCATATCCAGAAATTTTGAATGCCGACGCTTTTTTCAATTCATTGGAGCTTCAAAGTAGTTCAAAATCAAATTCACGTAGAACAACTTCAGGTGATCGTTCAAGAAAATCAGGAAGAAATGAAGATCGAAAGAGGAAAAATCAAAAGGACAAAAGTCCAGAAGACACTTCAAAAGATAAACTCCACAATTTACTACCGGTCGTCACTGATCTTGATGATCCAACTGATCATCTTGGAATTCCATCATTGGTTGGATTTCCCGATATTGTTGCAACCAGTAAACCATCGACTTCAGTAAAAATATCATTGGTTTCCTCAATAAAAATAGAACCATCCGATTTTCATGGAAAGCATGATTCATTGGAGAGTGTCATTTCAAAGCAGTTGGATAGAAAACGTGATGATCCTCAGAGATTAGATCCAGATCATCCGGGTTGGCTGGATGATTCCCTCTTGGTTGATTTGGTGGGAAATCCAGTCAATAAGGATGCATCTAGTCTAAGTAGATTTGAGGATTTTGATTATCAGCAAGAGGAAGAAATGGAGGAAGAGAGTGGAGAGGAGTACGTTGAAGAAGATGAATCATTCTCGGAATCGGATGATGAAGATCGCAGCTATCCTCCTCTCAGTCACACAGGAGGAAAATGGAAGCCAGGTCTCGGGAGCATGTCACAAACAATATCACACGATCTTCATGAAGATGATATCGAAATGACAAACGAAGACGAACAGGAACAACATCATCATCCTCCGCCTTCACACACTGGTGGAAAATGGAAGCCTACTGAAAGCAATTCCATGGATGTAAGTTTATCCAAAATTATTTTGAATTTTTAAGTTTTCAGCAACACTTTTAATCCATGTCCGTTTTTTTGCCTTTAAATTCGTGCTCATCGTTGTCCATATGTTTTCAACATTGAAAAAAATTCGCATAGGGTATTTCTGACGTTCTTGAGTCCCCTCTTTCAGAATCTAAAAGAAAAATTAACTTTTCACTCAATAGAAAAACGTTATGATTGTTTAAACAAAAATTTTAAACAAGTGTTACCAAAAATCGAAATATATGATTTAGAAAAAAAGTCGTAACTTTCATAAAGGTTTTCGGGGTTTCTGATTATGAATTTGAAGTCAGATTTTAAAAATTCAAAGTGGCTGATCCAATATGGTGGATGAAAATATTAAAAATCAAACGGATTTGCTTGAAATTTATTATTTTTAATTTGTAGAATCTGACATCATATTCGTAATCAGAGACCCCAAAAACCCTCTAGTATGTAATAAATTTAAAGCTAATCAAATTAATTTTTTATTTTTTCGTCCGCTATACTGGATCCGCTATTTAAAATTTCTTAAATCTGACTTTATATTCGTAATCAACGACCCCGAAAATCTCCGAGTAACCTGTTTCAAGGGAATGCTATTGATTTTTAATTTTTTTTTTCGCCATGTTGGATCCGCCATTTTGAAATTTGACTTGTTCACAGCGTCGTTGAACGTGTCGAAAGTTCCAACAAATTGTCAACCAAATCTGACCATGGGATCTTGTTCTTGATGGTCTTAGATTTGATAATCAATTTGAATTAAAATCGTATCTGCTTAATTGCTCGAGAAAATTGAAAAAATGTGAAAAATTGATTTTTTTCTGTTTAAAAAATTTTCTCAAGATTTTTCCATTAATTCTTTTTGTTTTTTTTATAAAAAAAGTGTTTAAAAAAAATATTATTTACATAATTTAAGTGAAGAAACTATTTATTTGTATGAAACTAAAAAATATCTGTTTGATAATAAGCATTTTCCCACCTTCTCGATAAGTCGGATCCTTGTCAACAATCAACATAAACACGAAATCTCTCAAATGATTTATGACAAAAACATTACACGTATGTTTAGAAGTAGAATAATTCGCACTTATATGTATATCCTGGATACAGCTTCATCTAAAATTTGCAGTAGTTTTACTTCATTCCATCTTATTTTAATTTCGATTTCGTCCAAAAAAGATCTTTATAGTTTACAATTTTCTATAGTGGTTTGTTCTACAAAAGTGCCATTTCTTTAAATTGGAATTAATGTAAAATTAAAATTCAGATCTTTAATATGTCACAATATTTAAGTCATGTAGAAAATTGAAAAAAAGTTTGTGTTATGTGCGGTGACAAGGTAGCGGTCTATTGCGAATATTTTTATCATATGCTACTAAAGTGAGTCTACAACTACTACATATACTTAATGGATATTTATCACTTTGTAAAAAATAATTACTGTTCACATGGTTTTGAATACGAGCTGCTATTGATTCAGTTATAGAAAACGAACTTGCTTTTTGTTTACCAAAAATAATTTTGTTACCGCACATAACACAAACTTTTTTCTATTTTCTTCATGACTTAAATATTGTGGAATATTAAAGATCTGAATTTTAATTTTACATTAATTCCAATTTAAAGAAATGGCACTTTTGTAGAACAAACCACTATAGAAAATTGTAAACTATAAAGATCTTTTTTGGACGAAATTGAAATTAAAATAAGATGGAATAAAGTAAAACTACTGCGAATTTTAGATGAAGCTGTATCCAGGATATACATATAAGTGCAAATTATTCTACTTCTCAACATACGTGTAATGTTTTTGTCATAAATCATTTGAGAGATTTCGTGTTTATGTTGATTGTTGACAAGGATCAGACTTATCGACAAGGTGGGAAAATGCTTATTATCAAACAGATATTTTTTAGTTTCATACAAATAAATAGTTTCTTCACTTAAATTATGTAAATAATATATTTTTTAAACAATTTAAAAAAAACAAAAAGAATTAATGGAAAAAACTTGAGAAAATTTTTTAAACAGAAAAAATTCATTTTTTCACATTTTTTCAATTTTCTCGAGCAATTAAGCAGATACGATTTTAATTCAAATTGATTATCAAATCTAAGACCATCAAGAACAAGATCCCATGGTCAGATTTGGTTGACAATTTGTTGGAACTTTCGACACGTTCAACGACGCTGTGTGTTAGAGAAAATATAACTATAGATTCGACTTCCTACTCAATGTAAAATTAACATATGTAACAAAATATTGTTATTGACTAATATTTAACAATGTTGTAAATAATTTTATAATGAAATTAGAATTTTGAAGTTATTAATGGATGAAAAATTTCCATTTTTTCTGTTGCTATTCTTACTGTATACTCGTAATAGATCTTGAATGTCAAATTGATCCATAATATTATTTAACAATATTATTAACCATTTTTATAAACAAATTACAAATTAGCAAGAATTGAAGAAGAAAAAATCTAGTTTTTTTGTCATCGAATTTTCTATAGTAGTGTCTACGAATCTTGCAGTTAAAATTATTCATCCAATATTATTAAATAATTTTATAAACAAAAATAAATAATAAAAAATAAATAATTTTATAACCTCCAAGTGGTGAGAATCGGATGACGACTAAGAAACGTTTTACTTACCTAACTATATCTTACACATTGTTGCACATTTTTTATAAAATTGTTTAATATTTGATGAATAATTTAAACTTCAAGATACGTTGATACTACTATACAAAATTCGGTGACAAAAAACTCGGTTTCTTCTTCTTTAATAATTGTTGCTAATCTGTAATTTGCTTATAAAAATTGTTAATAACATTGTTAAATAATATTAGGGATCAATTTGACATTTAAGATCTACTCTAATTAAAATAAAGCGCTGGGACGGAAAAAACGGACGATTCTATCCATTAATGCCTTTAAAATCGCAATTTGTTTATAAAATTGTTTATAAAAATTGTTAATATTTTTTAATAATATTAATAGTTCAAGATTTATTTCAACTATAGATAAAATGGTGACAGAAAAAAACGGAAGTTTTTTAACAGTTAATGACTTAAAAATCGCAATTGGTTTATAAAATTGTTTATAACATTATTTATACCATTGTTTTTATAATATTAGATATGTTTATAAAAATTGTTAATAATATTTTTAAATAGTATTAGGGATCAATTTGACATTCGAGATATATTGCAATTAGAGTAAGATTGAAAATTGAGGTTTTTTCCTAGAGAAATGTAAATTTAAAAAAGTGGGATACGAATGTTTAAATATTGAAAAATAGTAAAAAATGATCAAATATAGCCAAAAATTGTAAAAAAATCAAAAAATGTTAATTATCAATATTTAAACATTCTTATCCCACTTTTTAAACTATATATTTTTTATAGGAAAAAACCTTAGCTTTTGATTTAAAAAAAAATCGTACCTTTCACCCGGAAAAAGTCAAATTTATTTTTGAGTTTAATTTTTTTTGGTCAAAACATTTTTTTCCAAAAATACATATTACCAATTGAAAGAGCATCAAAAAATCTTTTGAAATTGATATTAATAAATTTTTTTTATTTTAATATTTGACCCTTAAGGGGTTACACCACTTTGAAATTTAAAAAAAAATCAGAAATAACGTGTATTGTACAGTCGGTATTGAATATTTTTGAACAAAAATTTATCTGAGGTATAGCTTATGATGTGTTTTTTAAAATGTAATTAGTTTTACAGGGATTAATTCATTTTAAAGTAGTTGAAAAAATTATGAAAAATAAAAACGAAAAATTGTGTGTTAGTTAAAAATTCATAAGTTATTTAAATTTTAATATTATGACTTAAAAATTTAAGGTTATATACTCTTGTATTATCCTAAATAACACAAGATATCTTGGGATATATTGATAATATCCCGCAGATATCCTATGGATATCTCTATAGACTTTCATAAATGTCCTCCAGATATCCCATAGATATCGTCAGGATATCCCACAGATATTTTCAGGATATCCTCAGTATATCTTCTGGATGTAAAGAAGATATTCTCAGGATACTGTTTTTAAAGTCATTATGAGACTACGAGTGAGAATATTCTGTGAATTAAATTTTATATAAATAAAATAAAATGCAACTTGTTTGTCGAGAAAGTTGTTTATTTTGAAAAATTATTAACTAATTTTTTTCTCATTCGTGATTCATTCCTTTATTCATATGCTTTTAAAACTTTGAAAAATGCGTTTCAAATCTTCATTTAAAATAAATTAGAAGCTCAAAAGATTTTTGTTTTTATTATATTATTATTCATTATATTAGCTTAACAATTTTAACCTTTAAAAATATTTGTTGAGATATTAAATATCCCGTGAATATCCTAAGAATATCCCACGGACATCCTGAGGATATCCCATGAATATCCTGCGATATAATATCCAATAGATATTTTGTGAATGACTTAGGAATATCCTGTGGATATCCTATGGATGTCCTGTTGATGTCCCACAGACCGGCGGTTTGGATATCCTAGGGATATCCTATGGATATCCTATGGATATCCCAAGATATCCTAGGGACCATTCTAGGATATCGACCATTGATATGGATATTCTATGGATATCCTAGGGATATCCTTTTGTTATGAGGGATGTATTATTCTTTAAGGAAAAATTACCACAACAGTAGGACTTGCAAAAAAGGTATTTATTTTGAAGAATGAAATGTAAATTTTTAGGTTAAAAATTAAAAATTTATAATTAATAATGTTTGAAGCTAATTTATTCTTTCGTAACGAATTATTTGTATCAAAAAACTTACAAAATTACTAAGAATATGTCAAACTAATACATTAAAATATAAAAAATATTTAAAAGCTACACATTCAATTAATTTGAGCACGAAAGAATGTTCGGGTCTACTGGACCCATGGTGCCAGTTAAGAGTTAAGAAAAAAAATTATTATTATTATTTTAAACGCGATATTTTAACATTCAGGACTTTATTTTCATCGAATTTAGGTCGAAAATTTAATTGAAAATCCCAAAAAATCGTGTAAACTTTTTTTGTTTAAACAATCATCTTCTTGTCATTAAATAAAAAAGTCAATTTTTCTTCTACATTATGAAAGAGGGAACTCGTACATTATAAATTCTAGTTTGCAAATTTTTTTTTAAGTTTGAAAACATGGACAACAGTAAGCACGATTGTTAAGGAAAAAATGGACATTTTGGGCTGAATGAGTTTTGATTTAAATTTTTTATTTAAAACAAGAAATCAATTTAGTCTCTTCACTAAACAAGAGATTATAATAAATATTTTTATTATAATTTTTTTTTTTGACAATATTCTTTCTGTTATTTGCATCAAGGATATAGAGTTGATGGAGCACAAAATGGATATAGACCAACCACCACTGGGACATACTAGAGGAAAATGGGTACCCGGAGCACGTGCTGATATAAGCTCAGGATATTGGTGCAGTCCTTGTGGTAGAAATCTGGCTTCACGTGTACTCTACAACAGGCACCTGCGCTCTGACCTTCACGCCAGGAGAAACATGCAGGAAATCGATGGTGTTGTACAATTTCCTCAATCTGTCAACCGAAAAACGAAGCTTCAAGAGGTATTGATTAGAGCTGCTTTGTCTAAATTTCTAATTTAAAAATCCAAAAACTTTTCAATGTATACATAAATTCCTCATTTTTCATCTATATTCATATTGCAGAGTATACAGTTAATTAATTTTAATATTTTTAAATCTTCTTTTAAAAAATTATTTAAGAAAATTAAAATTATTCCCTGAGATAATATTTTAGATGAATGGAAGATAAATGAAACACTAAAATTACACTTTTTTTTACAAGATTTTTGAGGCTCGGTATTACTTTTAATAGTAATTTATAAAAAAAAAAAACACGAATTTGAAGTCCGCTTTGGTCCAGAACGTCTGGATTTCTTCTTAACCTCAAAAAACATATCAAAAATTTGGTGGTATACAAATTTTTTTTTAAATTCATAGATTTATATAAAACTTGATATTCAGGGATTTTTGAGGTCGCTGATTACGAATCTGAAGTTAGATTTTCAAAATTCAAAATGTCGAATCCAAGATGGCGGCGAATTTTTTTCGAAAATTAGTGATTTTTTAGAAATTTTCTTAAAGATTAATGGATTTGCTATCAGTGGTCACTAAAACCGCACCAAGTAACAAATTCCATGATAATCCATCAATCTTTAAAGAAATTTCTAAAAAATCACTAATATTCGACAAATTTTGCCGCCATATTGGCTCCGACATTTTGAATTTTAAAAATCTGACTTCAGATTCGTAATCAACGACCCCGAAAACCCCCGAGTAACAAGTTTCAAACGAATTGCATTCGATTTTCAAAAAGACATCCGCCATATTGGCTCCGCCATTTTGAATTTACAAAATCTGATTCCAGATTTGAAATCAGCGACCTCAAAAACCCCTGGATTAATATAAATCCATTAATTTTAAAACAAATTTGCGTACCATCAAAAATCTGACATTAAAGTCTATTCCTACTGACATTAATCAAAATATTGGAAAATCATTTATTTATAAAAATCTTCCAAAAGTTTGTATTGTTATTTATTTTACACGACACCGAAAAAAATTCTCAAAATGAAAATAATATTTTTCTTCTAAATTCATTTTACAGTTTATTCGTAGAATAAAAAATAGTTTTCTACAAAAGAAAAAAATTTTTACGATAGGGGATTGGCTAAATGGTGACTAAAGTTTTCCTTTCCGCAAAATATTCTTCTTTTATGTTCAAAATTATTTCTTTAAAATTGAAATTATTGCTCTTTCAAACTGAAAACTTGCAAGCAGCTATATAGTTTTGGCATATATTATAATATTTTTAGGCAACTTTGAACCGCAGTCGTTGGTCTTTAAAGTTTATTTTTATATTATATTTAAATATTTTCGAAAAATAAAATAAACAAAGATTACAGTCTGAAGATTATAATTTTAAAACTCTGATAAATTATACTCTATTTATATTATTATTTGGATAGTTAATCATTAGTTTTTTTTATCTAAAGTATTAAAAAAATATAAAAATTTCTAAAAATGCTACTAAAATTACAATTTTTGATATTTTCAATTCGAACATTTGCTTCTAAAATTTATTATCTTAAATTTTTATAATTGTAGGCCTCGGATTGACTTTTTAAAGAAAAAAATCATTTTAGTTGATTTACATTACAAGAAAAGTCTAGAAAGTCTATTTCTTTAATTTAAATAAAATTTAATTAGTTGATAAATATTTTATTATTATTAACAATTTGTTATTAGAAATTAAATAAAATTTATTAATTCTTTAATAAGAATGTTTCATAGAAATATTTTCAAGAATTTTTCTTTTTAAATCACCGAATGAAAATAATATATCCCTTCTAAATTCATTTTACAGTTTATTCGTAGAATAAAAAATAGTTTTCTACAAAAGAAAAGACATACACACTCAGACAAATTTTCAAGATTTCAATTAAGTTTCAGAACAAATTTTGAAAAATAATTTAAAGTTACATTAAAAACAAGAAAATTTTTCAAGTCTTATTTATGCACATTATTCGAATTCAGAATTTCGGAAAATGTTTTAAATAATTAAATTTTCGAAGAATTTGATTAAATTTCTGAAAAAATTAATTTCAAATAAAATTTGTAAAATAAATAAATTATAGAAGTTATATTTAATTAAAATTTTAAAAATAATTGAATTTGGATTAGTTTGATTTAAATTTTTTTTTAGAAATAATTGATTTTCAGGTGATTATGAATTAAAACTTTTAAAAATTTGAATTAATGAAATTTTTATTGCAAATTTCAGACAGTTATTGAATTTTAGAGAATTTTCGATTAAAATATGTTCTAAATAATTGAATTTGAATTGATGGGTTCAAATTTAAAATTTGACTTTTGATGGAGTTACAGTTAAGATTTTTAGAAATACCTAATTGCATTTTTTGAGATTTCAAAAATTATAACTTTGTTGTAAATATAAACATTAATTAAAAAACGATTTAAAGAATTGAATTTTTGAAAAATTGGATTGAAACTGTTGAAATAATTAATTAAAGAAAAAAAATTAATTAAACGAAGAAAATTTGTAAAAAAAAATTTAAATTGAATTAACAATTTTATTAATTATTCAATTACTAATTGACTTTGAAAGAGTTCGAGTTAAAATTTTTTTGGAAGTAATTAAATTTTAGAAGATTTTAAATTAAAACTTTCATAAATTTTAATTGATAAAATTTTTTTACAAACTTTAAAGAATAATAGAATTTTAGAATTCTAGAGTTAACGGTTTAATTGTATTTCTAACTTACTAAAACTACTTTTTGAGAGGTGTTAAGAAGTAAATAAGTTAAAAAATGTAGAAGAAAATTAATTTAATAAATAGAATATCCGTGTTTCAACTTCATTGATTATTTGAAATATTCACGATTTTTTCAACTGGTTGAATTTTGAAATTTTAAATTGAATTTATAGACTATATATTCGTTTCATTCTACTTATCTATTGGATCCTTTTTCCTAATTTATAATAATAGATCTTAAAGGTTTATAAACTATAGGAGCAGTGTGAATGTTAAATGTTTTTAGAATTTTAGACAATCTAATGAAATCTGGATTATTGTATAAGGAAAACTAACTTTAGGAATATGTTTATATAAAAGATCTCTTGAATTTATAATACTATTAATTATATTTTTTACGGAATGGTATGTTTTTTTTATAAATTTAAGTAGATAATATTTTTAATTTTCGTTAGGTTGTCATTAAGAAACGAATGGTGTGACAATAATATGGTTCTGTCGACAAAATTATATACAATGTTTATTTGTTGTTGTTTTGTTGAATTTTATTAAATAATTCACCAACAGAGAGCTGAAAATAACGAAGAAAATTCAAATGATGGACAACAGATAGTCAAGAAACAGATTCGAAAGAGAGAAAAAGAGATTTTGACTTGTGAGATGTGTTGCGCTCGAGTGCGTCGCCCACAAATGGGAAAGCATCTACTTTCCCATTATCACTGTCGAGTAGCAGGTGCAAACCCTTTTAGAGCTAAAGCCCAGCAATTCCTTTTGGAGAACATGGAGAACGTTGTTCGACAATGTCCTTTTCAATGTAGTCCCTGTAAATTTTATTGCAACACAGAAGACACCTTTTTGTTGCATTGGCGATCTTCCTTACACCTGTCGATTATCAGCAAGGTAACTTTGAAATTCAAATTCATAACGGTTTAAATAAATAATATAAATACATACCTTAGATAGCTATTAAAATTTTTATTTATTTTTATTATATGATTAAGATTAGTGATTTTAAAAATAGCGGACATTTTCATCGTGTGGATAAATTTAATCAGTATAGTCTTTAAAAAAAAATTTACTTCTTACAAATAAGTTCTCACTTTATAGAAAGTGATAATTTAAGTTTATACTTAATTTTAGAAATTATAAAGAATTTTGCGTAACTTTCTCAATGTTTCTAAATAATTCACAGATTGATGGAAGTTTTAAATGCGCCCCATGTGCATTTTGGTGTGATGAAAATTCAAGCATGGAGTCCCATCTTTTGAGTTCTTGTCATCGGGATTTGATTTCTATGATGAATGGCTCAATTCCTACTGTGATATCAAGACAAAGAAGTCTAATGTGCATTACTTGCGAGCAGTCATTTAGGTAGCAGTTTCTTATTTCTTTGTTTACTGCATTGGATCAAATTCCCACAAAGGTTTCTGAAAGGTTTCCTACTGGATCCTATATTTTTATTTTTCTGATCTCATTTAGAATTCTATAAAGATCCCCACATTCTTTGTCATTTCATATAGGAAACTCTTTAGAGTAATCCTGGTGAGTTTCTATTTAGAATTCAGGAAACCTTCTAGGAATCTTTGTGAGATTTTCTAATAGTTTACTAATTTAAAAATTTTTATAACTATTACAGATATAATATAGAATTATGCCAACATGCAAAGAGTACAGGACATGAGGTTAATTACACTGCTAGTGATGAATATCAAAAAAGAATTGGATGTCAACTTTGCGATGTCGTATTTAGATCATTAGTTGCTTTACAACGACACCAATTAACATTTCATAAGTCAGAATCAAATAAAAATCCTGAACTAGATCTTGTTCCGTACTATTGCTCTTTTTGTTCTTTGAGTTTCAAAACAACAGAAGATGCCATTATGCATCGAAGAACTCTAGCGCATAAGGAGATAGTCAAGTCAACGAAAGCAGATAATCCTTCAGTCTCCAGAGAATGCCTTAATTGCAATAAACATCTGTCCAGCCTTTCAGAATTAAGAACTCATCTTCTCGAGGTTCATCCTGAACTTTGCTTTAGGTTTGTCTTAATTATAACATATTGTGAGAAAAATTGTTAAAATTTTCTATTAGTATTGCTAAATTTGATATTTCATTTAACTTTTAGATGTCCAAAATGTGCAAAGATTTTCGCACTATCTCAAGATGTCTCGAGGCACACTAAAGAAGGCGAATGTAATCCACGTGAAATTCCAAATATTTTAAATGATACCGTAGAATGGAAATGTAATATTTGTCCTTTTGCAACTGATTTGCAGTCAGAATTCATGTTTCATGAAGCTCTACATGCAGGACCTGTTGAACCTAAAATTGGTGAAGCTGGAAGTAGTAAAACTTGTGTCAATTATCGATGTACTCTTTGCAAAAAATGTTACTCGAAAGCAACATTGCGAAATCACATCAGAGGTCACACTGGCGAAAGACCGTTTCCATGCAGCAAGTGCAGTCACAGTTTCTCAAGGCGAAATGACTTAAATATCCACCGTAAAACTTGCAGGCAAATTTCTCAGAACGATAAATCAAATCGGCAAAGAAATTTTTCGTGTGCTGAATGCAGTTCTGCTTTCTTTACCAAGTAAGTGGAATTTTTTATTGTTCAAAAATTAAAACTATAATATTTATTTATATATTTAATCACAATGTAAAAAATTCTCTTTAGTGCAAATGCACTTAGTAATTTAAGAAATTATAATGAGTATAATAACAAAATAACCAAATTATGTAGGTGACTAACAAACTAATACAAAAATTAATTTTCGCAAAAGTCGTTTGTAAATTTGTTCAAAGAGATACCAAAGAAGTCCAATTTATGACAGAACTCATTACATCTAGCACAAAAGTAGTTAGCCTTGTTAAATTGTATTCTGAACAATCTCTGATTTCTTAATCCCTTTGAAAGAATTAACAATAAGGGGTCATCCATAAAGCATGTGATACATTTTTTCAGAATTTTAACACCCCCCCTCCCCCTTGTGATGCTTTTTCCAATACCGGTTAATATGGAGTGTGATATTTTGCTGACCCCCCCCCTACCTCCTAAAGTATCACATGCTTTATGGATGACCCCATAAAATTTATGCTTGATAATATCAATGGACAATTGACTAATCCGTTTCGTTAATTATTTTGAAAAAAATAATAGGTTCAGAAGAATAATAACTCTTAAAGAGAATTTTGGAATTATAAGTGATTTTCTTAAATCTAAATTTTGTAATATACACCAACCTGTTTTGCTGCGAAACGGAAATATTTATTTTGAACACGCTTTAATTTCAACAACTGGTAACACAGATAGCACGTAAGTTTGCAGCAATCTTACGGCAAACTTGCCGCAAGCTTACTGCAAGCTTCAAATGTCCTACCTGACCCAAGCTTGCATGGTAAGCTTACCTAAAGATTGCAGTGTTAGGTTACTGCAAGATTGCACAATAAGATTATCGCAAGATTGCCCTATAAGATTATTGCAAGATTGGTTAAAAAGCTTGCACGGTAAGCTTATAGCAAGGTTGGTGCAAGGTTGCCAAATAACATTGCTTTAAACCTAAAATTTTTTTTTTATAATGTTTAGTCAAATTTATATAAAAAAATTTATATATAATAAAATTATATAAATTAGACGAAACATTAAAAAAAAAATTTTTTAGGTTGAAAGCACGGCAACCTTGCACCAACCTTGCTACAAGCTTATTGTGCAAGCTTACTGAGAAATTTTGCGATAATCTTATTATGCAATCTTGCGATAATCTAATTGTGCAATCTTTCGGTAAGCTTACCATGCAAGCTTGAGTCAAGTGGGACATTTGAAGCTTGCAGTAAGCTTGTGGCAAGTTTGCCGTGCAAGGTTGGCAATATTGCGTGGCAAGCTTGCCGCAAGGTTGCTGCAAGCTTACGTGCTATCTGGGAATCTTGGTAAGGAACCCTTATTGTTATTGCAAAATCTAATTTTGATCTAGCTAAAGCAAAATACAATGATGTTAACTACTAAATTTTTAAAATGACACACGCATTTCGTTGGATTTAGCCAATAACTCTGAATGTCGCGTTAATTGGACTAATATTAGTCTAATTATCAGAAGAGTAAGAATTAAATTATTTTAAGTCCTTATACACACAGAAAAAACCTGAATTCAAATTGAGTATAGATTCTATACTCAATTTGATTCGCAACAAAAATGAAACTGGTTGTCTCATTTCGAGTTCTAAGGTAAAAGTATCAAAATGAAACAGGCAAGTTTCATTTTGAGAAAAAGAAAAATGGAAAAATATTGTGAAATAACGAATAATTTTGCACAAAAACATGAAATATAATAATTACAAAGAAGTAAATAACACGCTAGACTTAATATATTTGATTAAAAATTGCTTGTAATCGCGTAATAAAATAATAAAGGAAATATGTTTTTAGGTTAGAAAAATGAAAACATGTGTTTTGACAACAGGAACGGTACTGCCAACTTAAATAATAGCGGTAAATTTAAAAACTTATGAAATTAATTATTATCTACGTAAATAATAATAAATAATTTTTATTTAAAAACTTCTAAATATTCGTACTGGTCAAAATAATCTTTCTGGTGTTGTTGAAATATTAGAAACAATAATTGAAATACAAAATTACTCTGCTTATGATGCCAACTTAGAAATCTGAAATTCCAGCCAATATCATTTTGAATAACATGAAGTTTGTCCCATACTCATTTCGATACCCAAAAGAAAATGAGTTGCAACAAAAATGAGTCCAAGTTTTTTCTGTGCAGTATTTTCTTTTCAATGGAATCTTTAATAGAAACATAGTAAAATATGAAGTATTAAAAGGCATTGATTATATTTTTTTCAATTTGCTAAAATTTTTCTATAAGTTCATTTTTTGAAAGTTTACAATTTTAGTATTTGGATGGATTATTTTAATCGTCAACAAATAAAGAATTGTTTCTTATTTCAAACTATTTTGTTATTAAAATAATACTCTAAAATTTTCTGTAAATGTCTGAATTTTTTGATAAGTCATTTTTTTAAACTCACAAAAATTCTTGGTAAGTTGGACTACTTTTTTACTGTTTCTCCTAATTCCAAGAGGCCTCAGATAATTTATTACTTTTTTTTAGAAAATAACCCTTATATGTGAATTAAAAGTGAATTAAAAGATTAATTTACTATATTCTGATTGTCATAAAATTGATATTCTAAACGATTGTAGAATGTATAAAAGTTTTTTATGCTCACCAAAGATTAAGCGAGAAAATACATAGTTTTGACTTGAAAAAACCAATGTGTCCACTTGTTTACCTATAAAGTTCGTGTAGGAATACTAACCATGACGCAACAGGTTCGTGCATGAAAGCTGATCATTTTCGTCTTTGAAACCTCACCTCTATGATTAATAGTTTCGGAAATATTCCATTTGTCTCAACTGATCCCATTGATTCCACTAATACTGAAACAAATTCGTACAACTTCAAATAAGACTTATAGAATACTAATTATTTGGAACAAATGAATATTTATTTGATTATAGTAAAGAAATTAATTATTGGAATCAAATACATTTTATTCATTATAGATTTTTGGTTGACTTAGCTTTTGGTAAAATAACTAACAATCAGCTAAAATTATTATCTGCAATGATTGTTTTAATTGTAGTAATATAAAATAATTTTCTACAACATTAAAAAAAATTCTAGTCTTAGTTCTATCTCATAAAATATACAGCTAATACTCATTATTACATGAGAAAAATTACTATTAGCTACCATTCCGAATAATTTGTTGCATCAGCTAAATCATTAACACTATCAGTTGGTTGATTTCAGCTAACGTAAATTTGCTGTAGATGCCAAATGTTTTTCCTGCTTGCAATATTTTTAAAAAATTGTTTAACCGGTTAACTGGTACTGTATCATATACACGGTGATCAGAAAGTCGTAGCCAAAAATTGGTCCAGGTGATGAGGGCGATGTGCGAAAGGGGAATGTTTTTCGGTTTGGACAAATAACTCATAGTTTTCAAAAAAATTAAAATTTCCAAAAACAACAATGGTTGCTATGCTATGGTGATGGTTGCTATGGAAATAGTTCCTATAGTAATGGTTTTTATGAAATCGGTTGCTATGGAAACGGTTGCCATGAAAACAGTTATCATGGTAAGTTTAATAACACTTTCTACCTTTGGTCCTAGAATTGGCCCTAATAGTTGGTCTAATCTTCATCCTAAAACTGATCCTAAAACACTTTATACATTTCGTCCTGAAACTGCTCCTATAACACTTTCTAACTTTGGTCCTAGAATTGATCCTAAAACTCAGTCTAATCTTCGTCCTAAAACTGATCCTAAAACACTTTCTACCTTTAGTACTTAAATTCGACCTATGACACTTTTTATATTCGTCCTAAAACTGATCCTAAAACACTTTCTACACTTCGTCCTGAAAATGATCCCATATCACTTTCTACCTTTGGTCCTAGAATTGGTTCTAATAGACGGTCTAATCTTCGTCCTAAAGCTGATCCTAAAACACTTTTTACATTTCGTCCTAAAACTGATCCTAAAACACTTTCTACAATACGTCCTGAAACTGATCCTAAAACACTTTCTACAATACGTCCTATAACTGATCCTATATCATATTCTACCTTTGGTCCTTAAACCAGTTTTGATTTTATTTTAAGTTTCTTAAAAAAATGAAAATTTCACCCTCAACCCTTATTTTTCACCCCCTTAGGATGTTTCAAAATGGAAACTAAGCTTGGAAATGGAATCAGAGGAACAAAAAACCTTCTAGAACTAGTTTTTAAGTAATTTTGTTGATAATTGGCTTCTACCAGAATTGTCACGAAAACTGGAAAATGCTCCACCAGTTAACCGGTTAACAGTGAAAAATATCTATATAATAAAAATGATAATGTTGTCTAAGGAAATTAATACAATTTAATTACATTTGTCCGTTAATGAAAAATGTCTGACAAGAGTCAGTTTTGCAACATTTGAAAATGAAAATAAAACTATTAACCACCGTAGTGTCAAAGAAACCACACTCTAAAACACAATTTCTGCTCTGAAACCAACTCATAACGCATGCACTGTTAGCGAGTGTACATATATAAATAAACGAACAAGCATTTGGAGAAAAGTGCAAGACAATAAACGCTTTGGTGTCACGAACTAGCCGCGAAGCTCGTGTAGTAGTAAAAGTGTCCTCGCTGCATAACTGTAAAATAAAGGACCGTGCCAAGGAAACAACGAGACCAAAAAGAGAAAAATTTAGAGGTTTAAAAAAGATCTTATATATATGGGTCATTCTCACAAAAAGGACAAATGACACGTTCATGACATTATTTTTAATAAATAATTATAATAATTGAAAATGTTGCGGGCCTTATTATAGAAGTCAACAGAATTTAATAAGATTTTATAAAAAAAAATTGACAATTTTAAATAATTGAATATAATCATGTTTATATAGTGTAAAAACTCCCCTCCGTTACCGTTCGCGAAGTAAGTTTTATTTAAAGAAGAATTATTGCATTCATACTGCAATAGGAAAACATCTTTTGTCTAGTAACATCTACTAATTACATT